TTTTAAAAGTGAATATACCATCTGTCTACAAAACCCATAACCAACAAACTCTTTTCGTCAACGTGCAGAAAAAAAAATGAGACAGCATTGACTCAGATCTACAAATTGAAAACATCTTAGACAGAGTATTGCTCATCTGCTATTAATTTTTCTAAATAAGTTTGTACTCTTTCTTTTGCCGAAAGAATTGACTTCACTTTATAGAATCTTATTCTTTTCATACCATGTTCGTTGTATGGTTCAGTCGAGAAAAATTATTGAAACGACAAAAGTAATGAAAATCACGTGTAACTTACTATATAGTCTGTATTTTTCTTCCTAAGTGTTTTTTCCTGGATCATCAGACACCATAAGAAAAAATTTTGTCGAAGGTTTTTGATAATACGTATTCTTTGCAGTTGACTGTGTGATGAGCTTGAATTCCTTCTTTATTGAATATGTAAGCATATTCTTGCTTCATCGACTCATCAAACCATGTTATTGAAAATAGCTTTTTCTTAAAGTACTGCATCATCTCTAATGAGATATTATCGGCATCTAAATGCTGTCCATAAATCCGACTAATTGTATGCAGCATTGGTTTTCTATGTTTTAATAGAATAAAATGCTCAAAATAAATACATCCAAAAGAACAAAATTAGTTTCCCATAGAAAGTTGTCTATTGTGTCGAAATAAAAATAAAACAGGCTTGAATCTTGTATTTTGCTATTGTAAAAGATACTAGGAAAAATAAAGACAAGGGATCGATTATAATTTATTTCGAACTCAACACTGTTGAGAGGAATTCGAAATAAGAGCTTTAAACGTTATGAATGTGAAATTGGGCTATTTTCTGTTTTTTTTTACAAGGCACTCACACCCTGATAGGATCATGCATCACAGCATAATTCGTTGCACATGTGTGGATGTCGATATAAATGCAAGACTTTTGTATAGTCTGAACGACTACCTAACATACACATCTTCACCCACTAACCCATATTCACACCAACGCGCATATTCAGATATCTCACTCTATACCAAGATTTACATCCACCCTTACTACAAATTTTGCAGCTCATGCCACAGAGAATAAATCAACACTGTTAGATACTGTTTCTCGTCTCATTAGTCTTCTAATTATTGAACTTGCTGTTGATCGAGTTCAGCACCTGTTTGCCACTTTTCTTTTCCTTTTAATTTAGAAGCCCATATTTTCCTGAAGTTGAATGCATTGTAGAGCATATTAGAAAATCGTCTATTCTTCGATTCATCTCTGACCAGATTTTTCAGTTTAGAATAAACGTTGCCATGATCATAACTTCCTATGAAGAATGTTTGGTCTTTTGGTATTTTTGGATCGTCGAAAGCTTTATGTAGAAGACCATATGTTTTGTCGATGATAAGAAAATATTGTCGTTCCATAGCTCTGAAATTACGGACACTCGACGCTAGGAAAATAAAAATCTATCTTTAGTTACTACTGACTACAGTTTGCATTTCGACGTCATAGATTAAAGCAAATTTTATTTTATTAAAATGCATTGTAATCGGAAAGAAGGAAGTTTTTCTTCCCTTTTGACATATTTAGCGGGTGCACAAATCATTCAGGAAATTTTTTTCAAAATGGTATTGCATTCACCATATTCCTTGTATGATTTACAAATTTTATACTGCCCATCGCAAGGGTTAATTAAGGAAATTGAGCAAGATAAACCTAATGGGATTGTAATAATCTGTGAGAATTAGTCGATGCTTCTAAAACTCAATTCAGACCCTTAGTATTAAATAGTATGAATGTAAACTTTTATTCAGTGTTTCTATAGGAATCACTTGTATTTTGGTCAAGGTGATGGAATGATACGAATGAAGTGTAGTGTTAAAGGAGACGACGAGTAAAGCTAAAATATGTCAATTTAGAGAGTACGACTATATGTGACAAAAAAACCTTTCTATGTTAGAAAGAAGTTAAGAAGAAAAGCTCTTAGATTTTGAAAAAAAATAAAAGAAACTCATCAAAAATATTTCACTGACTCATAATGCTTTTCTTTATAAATCTTGAGACTCAAACTTTTACATTTATCTATTTTGAACTGACTGCGAGTTTATAACATTATTGAATACCAAATTTTTAGTATGCAATCGAGTCAAAAGCTCAAGGATGATTAAATAACTTTCCGAATCTATTTGATTCCTTCTATGACGAGATAAATAACGAGATTTCATATACCATTACTTTTATCAAGATATCTATAAGAGAGACCTTGAGTCTCTCTGAAGCTAATTTTTCATTTGGGAAATATTTAACTTTTATTGAGACTTTTACATCTTGCCTAGACTCACAATCAAATTACTTACCCAAAGTCCTGTGCTTGTAATTTTCTTGCATATTGATCGTATCAGCACCACATGAATCTAAAAGATTATCTACACTTTGATAGGGAGACAAGAAATTTATACTGCACTTACGATAATCTGTTTATTGCTCTTGATGAAAGAATGAGAAAGGTAATTTAGAACTTTTTAAATTGTTATCAGCTATATTCCTACGATGAATCTAGGATATGCGTATCTAAAACCAATAGTGAATAAAGATCATTGGAAGAGATCGATAGTAATAATCTGAGACGGGCATCGAAAGGTAAAGAATACGCCGAAAACCTTAAACTAGAGCATTCGATTATTAAAAAAAATTTTGTTGCTCGATTAAAACTAATTTGTGAGAGTATGGGTATGAGTGTGGAACGCGGTCATATTCACATCTCATATTCTCGAGCGCACAGGTCTACATTCACAGAAACTTTGAAAACTTTCATTTTCGCGTTCTTCAAATCATTGGTCAGACAAATAAATCAACCAAGAAGCTGGAACCTTTTTTTTTTTTTTATAAAATTCCACATGTCTAAAGGATGAATGAAATTCTTTTTTCAACAAAAACACGTGTGAAAAAAACATTACCTAAAACCTACTCTTCTTTTCTCTTTAAAGAAATATTTTGTACAGCAATACAATGTGCGCTTTTTTTCTTTTCATTACTTGTCGATCTGAGTAATGCATCACTTCGCTGCTTTTTAACCATATTACCTTCATAGCTCGGTACTTCTATTTCTTTGTTACCTTATTCTCCTCACCTCCGCGTCACCCTTAGTTTAAATATTTAGAAAAAGGTAAAGTACATGTATAAAATTATTGTTCGATGTGTATGTATATACAATAAACTGGTTGTTTTTGTCCACATCCTCAAAGTTTCAATCATAGCTGATCAAAAAAAGAATGTGAAAATTATAACTGCATTTTATATACTTGAGTATCCTTGGCTAAACATTTCGTTGTCATGTTTGATTTATAGACTATTTTTTAAATATATTGACATGTAGCTTCAATTATTGGCATCGATGAAGTGATCAAAAGTAAATGTAAGTTGTACATAAGAAAGTGAAGGCAAATAAGGAAACTCCACAATGTTTTTAAATTGAGCATATCAAGAGAAACCTGTCGAGCTACTTTCTTTTCACATTTATTTCATATACTGATGTCATAACGACAAATATTCATTTTCTGGTACTCAAAATCAACTCAGACAATGAAAAATTTGTATATTCTGATGTTGTAAAGAATAAGCAATCATAAATCGCGAATATTAGAACACTACCATTAAATGGGATATGAGTGTATGGATGTTGGTATTTGTCCGTATTAATTAATCCATCTACACCCAAAAGCCATTATTGTGCAATCATGGCCTCATCTTTGCTGCACACAAACAGTGTCATCTACTGTTTAACTTACTAGACTCTTTGAGATCGATCTTGAAAGTTGTGGTAACAAAAAATGAAACGAAACGTCTATGAAGTGATTATCTATTATCAAATGCATGTTCGTTTTTAATCGGAACGAGCATGGTCGTTACAATGAGTTGTTACAAAAGATCAAGGATTGATCTTTTGTTGGCTTCGTCTGTTCTACCACTTCTTGACTTGCGTCACAGGCTTGAGTCGTACTGATTTTTGTATCTTGCTGGTTAACACCACTGACCATACTTTAATGCGTTCCATGGTGAACGATAAGCAACTCACCATTACCATTAACAGAGCCAAGCCAGGCGTCATCATTAGAATAATTTCGATCGACTTTGAGTGCATGACAATACCAGCCAATAAGCAAATAGTAAGAATAGCCTCGACATTGATTAGATTGGGACAAATCTGACTTCCTATAATCCATATAGTATTTCGGAGGGAAACCGCTCGGGTCTGAATGTTGATTATGAGTGGAAATGTGTATGAAGGAAAAAATCAACACCAACATTCCACATCAACCCTTTTGAAAACTTTAATTTATCCAGCTTTATGTATTCCTTTGCTTATAAGCATATCAAATCAAGGCTACCAAGCACAAGAAGTTAACAGCAATAAAAGTCATGATCCAAACCTTTCACTTACGACCGTAGCTATGAGTCTAATGAATATCCATATTGACATCGTCAGGATCCGAATGGGCGTGCGTGTGAATGTAGATGAAAAAAGATGAGAATGCATATCGACACTTCGAATTTGGATAAATTTTCTACAAATAATTCTGGCCTCTTACTATTCTCTGATTTTTTAAATCTTTTATTAGTAAAACAAACGATTTAAACGAACAAAATCATTTTATGGGATTTCCACGATATGAATTAAATTACTTAATGTAAATTTTTGATTACTTCTACAAATAGTTTTCAATGAAAGACTATAATTAAACAAAGATTTTATTACCTATGCATTAAAAAAAATTTATCTGATATATTCGTAGACATTCTATAATGCAAATCAAGATTGGTTTTACCTTCGAATTTCGACAAAAGCTATCATCAAAAATCATTTTTATTATCTTTTTTAAAGAAGTTTTGAATTAGTGGAAAAAATAAAATCTGTTCATAGAATATGGAAATAATCGATACAAATCTATCTAAAAAATTACTGAACAAAACGAAAGTCAAGTCGAAACTGAATATATTTTAAAGCATCAATTTTTTGTTTCATTCACTTATATTTTTTAATTGAAGTGATACTGTCGTCGAATCAATAGGAAATAATTGGCGAATATCATCTATTAATAAATCGAAACTGATTTGTGTTTGATCATCATCCAATGCTATCAACTCATACATATTCATATCATTTTCTGATATGTGTAATTTCTGAAATAGTTCTTTAACAATAGCCATTATCGATGTATCATCATTGCATGGCAATGTAATGTTCTGATTAGAATACATGATTGAGCAATACATAGATGTTTTTGAAATCATTTGGAATTGAATTTGAGTCATATTTTCATCAATATCTTGTAAAGAGATATCATCATCGTTTAATGTTATATCATTCATATTGAAATAATAATCCTTGTTGTTTATATTAAATAGTTGACATGCAATTTCACAAATACGTTTTATTGTTATCGAAAGTCTACAATTAAATTGAATTGATTTATTTTCTTTATCATTTTGTATAATGACAAGAACTGGTAAATTTTGATCAATAACAGTAAATTGAATCGATGATTCTAATTGAAGAGATAGTAATTGAATATCTGTTGATGGAACAAAATCATTTGAACATAGAAGATATTGATGTAAAATATCAAGTTGATTTTCTTTATTAATATCAGCTATAGTAGCAGATATAGTAAATCGTTGATATTGCTTATTTTCTTCTTCTTCTTCTTTATTATTATAGATTATTTGTAAATCATCTGATTTCTTAATCGATACAAGACAAGTTTCATTTTCTTTAACAAGAATAAATTTAGCGTGATTTAAATTCGAAAGTTTTTCATCTGTATTTATAATTTTTTTAGTATCATTCATAGCTAAATATTTGTAAATATCGATTGATTTACCTGTTAAATTTAATA